TCACGTGGGCAGACACGACGACAGCAAAAGCGACAACGGCAGGACTCGAACCTGCGCCCTCAGAGAGGAATTGATTTCGAGTCAATCGCCTTAACCACTCGGCCACGTTGTCACTTTCTCGCATGAAATTCTCTTGACTATATTCACAACTCTCTTGCATGACGATCCTGCAACTCGCGTCTCCCGAAACCAACGTTTTTTCACACGCAAACGACTGCTGTCCCACATATCATACCCTCGACCTCATACAAAACCTTAATATGAGGCCCGATCTCACTCGCCTCACATGCGCTTGGCATATCCCCATCCTTGGAGAGCATTTGTTTGACTTGCTGCCTGTTGGTGAAGACCAAAGCCTGTCTCATCTCCAAGCTGCTGTCTCGGGCTCGCCCTCACCCTGGCCAACAAATATTCTGCATTCTTTGCATTTGCTACGCACGATCACATTTCCTGATCTGCCTGGTGGATCTGCATCGCGTTCATCCTTGATGCAGTGGCAGCAACAGCGAGTGATTAGCATCGGATCCAAGCGAGGTCAATGCAGCCAAAAGCTCCGCTCAGCAAACTGCACTTCGCCGCAGCCTGCGTGGACAGTCGACAGCATGTTTCATCCCTGGAATTCGTATCAGTCTAATTGCCACAAGGCACGATTCATTGAGCAATCACATGGCATCCTCCGCAGCCTGCTGTGACGCGAGGTCTGTGCTGACAGCCGCAAGAAGCGACTCAAGGCGCTTGACGACTTCGCGGAAGGTCGGGCGAGCGGCTGCGTCCTGGTTCCAGCAATCCTCGATGAGAATCCAGAGGTTATCTGGCACGCCATCTGGCCGGTACGGTCGCTCGCCCTCCTCGATCCAACCTTTCACAATTGCATCATTGCGCTCCTCTTCAAACGGTGCATTTCCAGTGAGCAGCTCGAGCGCAGTCATGGCAAACGAAAACACGTCCGACGGCAAGTCGAGCCGGTATTCGTCTTGATGCACCTCTGGAGCGACCCATCGCACCGTGCCAGTGCGCTCCTGTGCATCATCCTCTGTGCTCGCCTTGATGAACGACAGCCCAAAGTCGGCCACATGAGCCCGTCCGTTCGAGTCTGCAGCACAGTCACGACGCAGGCGGCTCAGCCAGCTGCCCCTCGAAGCAAAGCAACAACGACAACGCCGACAACACACTCACCAATCAGCACATTGTCGGCCCTCAGGTCGCTATGGATCACAGGCGGCTGCCGCTCGTGCAGATACCGCATGCCGCGCGCCGTGTCGAGCAGGATGCCGATGCGCTCGCTGATGCTCATGTCCGGCCGTTTAAGAACCGCCTCGTTTGCGTTGTGCAGCATCAGCGGCATCACAAAGAACGGCTGCTCCGTTGCAAGGCACACGCGCAGCAGCGGTAGCACATTGTCGTGCTGCAGCGAGAACCACACGCAGATCTCGCGCTCGAGGATGTCGATCTGGGTCTTGATGTTTTTGCCGTGGATGACCTTGATGGCGACGTCCTGGCCATCCCACTTGCCGCGATGCACCACGCCAAAGCCGCCTTTGCCGATACACTGGTGGGTTCCCTTGGCAAACTGCACGCTGTTGGGATCGACGGCCCACTCGCGTGATGCTGGCAGATACTGCCCGACTTCACTCTCGAGCGATTGCTTTGTCGCGGCAAGAAGCGTGCGCAGCCGCTCCTTGAGGTCATCGGGTGCGTCTGCAACCAACTGCTCGCCGTGAGCCTCGATTGCGCTCAGTGTCTCAAGGCGGCTGCTCTTGCGATTGTGCGACGGCGCAACACAGCCCACGGCGCACGGTCAGCTCGCTCAATGCGGAAACATGCCAGCGGGTATGCGACAAGCACACGCACCGTGACGGCACGTCAAACTTGGTGTCTGCCGCCGCAACAAGATTCCTGAGCAGAATCGGCCGCGTGTTGATGCTACCGCTCAGAGCCGCATTGACGGCCTCGGTGTCGAGCTCAACCCCAAGCCGTGCCGACTGGGACGTTGAGCACATGCCACGCGCACATAGCTTTCTGGTGAGTGCCCGGCATGTGCCAAGAGAGTGCAAGGAGCCCACTCGATGCTCACCGCCGCGGCAACAAGCAATGCGTCGCTCAAGTGCCTGATCCTGTCGATCGTTGTCCAGAACAAGAGCGCCTGGCCGATGGGGCTCACGTCTGCGATCCAGACCTGGAACAGTTTGATATCTGTGACTGCCTGAGCAACGGCCTGCGCCTCGGCAACGCTCAGTCCATGGTCAGCAGGAACCAAGTGCTCGACGAGCGCCGATGCGACTCTCTTGGCCAGCTTGCAAAGCCACGCGGATATCGCACGACCCATTCGTATGCCTTTCGCAACCTCGAAGCACGAGTCTGCCGTCGCAACTGCGCTTTCGGCAAGACTGGGCACGCGCTGGGCCGCCAGGATCTGATCCGAATCGAGAGGCACGACCGGCAGCTTCTCCAGTCGCTCGACGACTTGAGCAAACGACGGCCGCGCGGCGGGGTCCTGCTGCCAGCAGTCTTCGATGATCTGCCAGAGCGCTTCCGGAAGGCCATGTGGACGAAACGGTCGCTCGCCAGACTTGATCTTGACCAGCGCCTCGTGTCCTGTGACGCTGCTGCCAAACGGCACGTCGCCCGTGAGCACCTCAACGGCAGTCATGGCAAACGAGAACACATCGCTTGGCTTGGCGAGCTTGTATCCGCTGTCATGCACCTCAGGCGCGACCCAGCGTGTGTCGTCCGCGCGCCGCGCCGTGTTCCTGGACGAGTTGGCCTTGACAAGCGACATGCCGAACTCGCTGATCAGCACGGTGCCGTCGTCGGCTGGTGTCGGCGATCCACAGGTCAGCACCACGCAGGCAGGCAAGCAACAACACAAGGCAAAGACAGCAGCACGACGCACAGATGCGGGCGGCGTTGGCCTTGAGGCCGCCGTGGATCACAGGCGGCTGTCGCTCGTGCAGGTGCTGCATGCCGCGCGCGATGCCGAGCAGGATGGCCGTGTGCATCTCGATGCTGACAGACTGCGCCATCGTCAACAGGCTCGCAGCGTCCTCGCGCACAAACGGCATGACGACAAACGGCTTGTCCGCATCGAGGCACACGCCGTGCAGGCGCAGCACGTTCTCGTGCTGCAGCTGCGACCACACAAACGCCTCGCGCTCAATCAACTGTGTGGCGGCAGGACCCGCGGCGTTCGGAAAGACCTTGACGGCGACCTGCTTGCCGTTCCAACGCGCGGGATACACCTCGCCAAGCGTGCCCTCGCCGATCTTGCTGTTGTGTAGGATGAGCACGTCGTCTGGGTCGATGGTCCAGTTGCGCCGAGTCGACACACCGCGGCCGGATCGCCTGACGATGTCCAGGCTGGCGTTGTCGAGGATCGTCTGCAGCTGCTCGCGCACTCCGTCAGGTGCAGCCGCAAGCAGTGTGCCGCCGTGCTTCTTGATCGCGCTGAGCGTCTCGAGGCGGCTGAACATGCGCATCCGTGCAGCCGCGGAATGCCAAGCCGGACAGGGCTGTCAGCCTGCGCGATCATCGCACATCAAGCGATGCGGCACTGGCAGGGCACACGCACTGCGACTGCACATCGAACTTGGTGCTTGTCTCGGCCACAAAGCGCTCGATCGTTGCGGCAAGCTCGCTCTTGTCCTGCTCGACGGCCTCGGGCACGGCCTCGGAATGGGCATTGGAAGCGTGCATCTCCTTGTCGAGCTCTGAAATGAGCGTGGCCGTCTTGCCTGCAAGAAGCAGCTGCAGCAGATGGCTGTGCTCCGAGGTTTGCTCCAGCAGAGCCTCGATTGTTTCGAGAAGCGTGAACTGTGCATCTGGGCGTTGTGGCACTGCTGCGTTTCCTGCCGTCTCCGGCTGGCCCGGCGTCGCCTGCGTGAATGCGAATGTGTTGATCGCAAGAGCCTTGGCCGACGCTGCGTTGGCAATGGATCGGACTGCTGCTGCTCGGATCTACAGGATGCAAGCGAGCGGCGTGTCAATCACTGTGTGAGCATCAAGCACCGGCTCTGCAGGTTGCGCCAGGATCGTGGTGATGCGACGGACAGCCAGGCAGCTGAGAAGAGGGCACCTTATTCATCCTGGCTTGACTGAGCTCCATGGATGCAATTAGCTCCTTCACAGAAACTGCATTTCCTTCGATATCTCTGAAGCGCATTGACAAGCAAGCATCCGCAGCAATCAGCACGACCTGGCGGCAGAATGCATATTTGCCCAACAATGGCGCACTCACAGCCTTCTGATATGCTTGTGCTTGAGCGAAATCGGCAAAGCTGTCAGGCGGTTACTTTTCAAATCACTGAGTTGCAAAAAAGTGGGCAGAGAGAATGGGCAAAGCGGAGGTGAATCTGAGCCGATGTTTCCCATGGAGCGAAACGGGTGCGTCCTTGGAGACTTACAGAATCCTGAGGTTCGGAAGGTCGCTGATCTGATCTGGGATTGAAGCGAGCCGGTTTCCAGACAACAAACTAGACACGATGTGTCAGCGGCGGTCGCCCAACAGCGAGCAAAGCCCGAATCCCCGATGTCGCAACAGCGCAGTCAGTGCAGCTCACATCTCGCGCAGATTGGGGAGATTGCCGATTGACGACGGCAGTGACTCAAGCTGGTTATCTCCCGCCACTCTGTGCACAAATTGTCAACGTCACACCGGCAGATGCAGCGACCATCTCCGCGATACACACAAATTAACAAGATTTTTGAGGCTGACGATCTCATGAGGCAGAGAGGTGAGCTTGTTTCTGGTGACATTGCTTTGGGACACCGCGTCAACAGCAGACATCATACGAGTCAAACATCGAGCCGCCTTCCGGAACAGCATATCTCGCTCACAGTTGCTGCAGCTTGCGGAGGCCACCAATCGATGCAGGCAGCGACTCGAGCTGGTTTTTGTCAAGATAACTGCACATCGCGTCAATTTGTCATCCACAGACAAATTCATCTCAACTCCACGCACAGATAGACGAGTTCCTTGAGGTCGCCGATCTCGTCTGGCAGCGATGTGAGATTGTTGAAGCTGAGGCGACTGCACACACCGTCTCAGCTCCAGTCGGCAACGAGTGCAACGACTGCCACATCCAACGACGCAGCCGAAGCCTCTCACAGGTTTTG